AGCAGCCCCTTCGATTTCCAGACAGCCCCAACTTCTGTTCAGCATGCAGAGTTGGCGTTCAACTATTTGTTTCTAGGTCATAAAATGAGCACTCAGTAGAGGCTTTGGAAATGAAAATATTGTTCCTTTAGGTGATGATAAGCACAGGAAGGAGGCTTAAACCAACCATATCATTAAAGAAACAAGCGCACAAGCCGCTGAGACAGGCTGATGCTTTATGTAAAAAGACCAAGCAGACAATGACAGTGCTCCCATCGGAAACAATGGGTAATTGGCGTGCCAGCCGGAAGCCCTAGCTGATGCAGTCTGATGCCTCTGTGAGGGCCAAAGAAATGAAGAGGGAGCGTTAAGGACAAGCTGCCCGTGATCAGCTGCATTCCATTGTGAGCTAAGCTTGTCCTAGCAGATATGACACTGCTCAAATCCCCAAAATCTCATAAGGTGAGTTTGTAAATCTGTGCACGGATAATTCCAGTACTCAGATTTCGAGAATGTATGCTGTTAGTGCCAGAAGGGGCCTGGGAGATCATTTAGGCCAAAAGGCCTCATTTTACAAGTGAGGAAACTGAGGCCTGGTGTAGTGAGCTGCTGAAGGTCACACAGTGAGTTAGTAGCAGATTCCAAATCTTATGATAACATAAGGCTTCTTTCCACAAAAACTAAGCTGTCTCAGATTCCATTTGGTTCTATTTATCAGCTCTTAAACAAAGCCTCCTATGTGTAGTGAGTGTCCTATATCAAGTTTTTGTTGTTGTTCAATTGTGTCTAACTTTTGTGACCCCATTTAGGGTTTTCTTGGCAAACATGCTGGAGTGGTTTGCCATTTTCTTCTCCAGCTCATTTTACAGATGAGGAAACTGAGGCAAACAAGGTTAAGTGACTTGCTCAGGGTCACACAGCTAATAAGTGTCTGAGGCTGGTTCTGAACTCAGATCTTCCTGACTCTAGGCCAGGTGCTCTATCTACTGTGCCATTCAGCTGCCCCTTCCCCCAATCTCACCCCCCCAAATAATATCTTTTGATATATATACATATGTATGTGTGTATGGTGTTCCCAAAGTCTTAATACAATTTTAATAGCTTAAATTTTAGTAGCTTCAAATAGCATTAAGATTTTTGGGATACCCCATACATAGACATATATGTATACCACATATAATATACAAATATATTGGCTGCCCCTATCCCAAGTAGGATGTTGATGAAATCAATTTCATTTCAAATATTCTGGGGCTGGATGACCATTTTAACAACCACCACCACAGTCAATCAACAAATACTTGCTGGGGCAGCTAGGTGGCGCATTGGATAGAGCCCTGGCCCTGAAGTCAGGAGGACCTGAGTTCAAAGCCGGCCTCAGACCAAACACTTGACACTTACTAGCTGTGTGACCCTGGGCAAGTCACTTAACCCCAATTGCCTAAAAAAGAAACAAACAAACAAACAGAAATTGTGCTAAGCACTGTGGATACAAAGAAAAGTAAGAACAGTCCTTGGCCTCACATTCTGATGAGGAAGACTACATGTAAAAACCTGGGTGCCTACAAGATACATACAGAGTAAATGGAAGATAATATCACAGAAGAAGGCTTAAGTGTCTGGCAGGGACTGGGAAAGGCTCCTTGTAGAAGGTGGGATTTGAGCTGAGTATCAAAAGAAGCCAAGACAATTTAATGGCAGAAGTGAGCAGGGGAAGGAAGGAAGGAAGGAAGGAAGGAGAAGGAAGGAAGGAAGGAAGGAAGGAAGGCAGGCAGGCCTTATTAAGCATCTACTATGTGCCAGGCACTTTGCTGTGCTCTTTACAAATATTATCTCATTTAGACGAGGAGATGGGAGGTGGGATGCCATGTGTGTGTATGAGGATGAGCAAGTAGAGGAGACTCTGGCATTAGGTGGGAGGTTGGAATAGTTACCTTTGAGGTACGCTCCAATTCTCAAATTTCACAACTGGCATTTGGAAAAATCACTGGGTGATGGGAAAGGGCATAGTTTGAAAGTATTCAAAGACCAAAAGAACCATGCCTCTTACAGTTAGAGCAGCAATTCTTTAAGGGCTAAACGTGGAACTGATCTGTTTGTATATCCTGTGGCAAATGATCTGCTACTTCCCTATGATATTTATCCCCTTCAAGTGCATGAGGACAATGGTTCCATCATCCATTTAGTTTCCCTCTGGCAGAGTTTGGTAGTCAGCTCTCAGAGTGAATGTAAATAGAAATTATTTCTGTTTTGGCCAGAAACCCCGCTGGTCTTACCCTGCCACATTTATTAATTAGCTAATTTATTTTTGACTAGGTAAAAGAGGTCATTCTCTGCCTCATTTCTTACCTAGCCTTAATTACTGAATAGGCATTGCCTCAGACAAACTGAGACATGTTAAAGACCTTAGCTCAAAAAGGCCAAGATCTTCCACTGCATCCAGGGCCATCTCCAGTTGTCCTGATTGATCCCCATCTGGCCATTGGACCCAGATTGCTCTGGAGGAGAGAGTGAGGCTGGCTACTTTGCACAGCCCTGCCTCACTTAAATCCAATCCATTTGCATTCGTGGCATCCCCTTCCTGAGGTCACAGTCCTCTTTGAGAATGAAGCACAAACAACCACCTTCTTTATAAATAAACCTCCCCTTATCCTGAACTCCTCTTCCTGTTTCTGTACATTCTTCTGCCCTTTGGAAAGACAGTCCTTTGTCTTCTACTCGCTGTTAATACCTTTTCCTTGGATAGATTTCCTAAGTAAATGTGACTTCATATTGCTGCCAGACAGGATAAATAATGAAATAATTGTGTCAAGTACCGATGATTCTAAAAGTTAATCTAGGGCATTCCAAGGTAGTAGAGTTAGGCCTGCTCAGGCTTCTGACAAATTGTATTTGCTGGAATCTGACTATTAGACATGGAAAAGACTTAGTTTTTCTAGTCCAGTCACCTTCATTTGACAGAGAAAGAAAATGAAGCCCAAAGAGACAAAGTGATTCGCCTATTAAGCGGCAAAGCCATCACTAATAACAATAGCTAATGTTTATATATCACCTAATATGTGCCAGGCACTGTGATAAATGTTTTACAAATATTATCTCATTTTGTCCTCATGACAACCTTGAGAGGTAGGTGGTGTTAAAAAATCTCATTTTGCAGAAGAGGAAACTGAGGCAAACAGAGGTTAAGTGGCTTGCCTAGGGTCACACAGCTAGTTAAGTATCTGAGGTCAGATTTGAACTCAGGTCCTCCTGACTCTAGGCTCAGCACTTTTTCCACCCAACTGGTCACTCTAATTTGGGTTTTCTGTTCCCTTCATCCAATGCTTTTTCCACCATGACACACTCCCTGCCTTATCTCATTTGATCCAAAACAGGACCTGGTGAATATCATTCCTGTTTGACACATAAGGAAACTAAGCCTCAAAGAATTTAATTGACTTGCCTTTGTTAAAAAATCTGGCACATTTTGGGAGACCGTTGGTGTTCTAGCCTGATTTTTAATCCCAGATTTCATTTGTTTCAAATGGCAAATGTTTTGGTCAGCTGTCTGTTGAATTGCTGGGGCTAGTGACATTGCCCCCTGCTGACCAGTTGATTAAATTGTACCGGGAGATGATCGTGTGCCGGGGAAGGAGGGGAGGAAACATTGGATTCTAATTATATGGTTAAGTTCCTTGAGATATTTTGAGGGAAAGAAAGGTGACTAAGATGACCTTTCTAAAGTAACGTATTACCTGAGAGGCAGCAGGATGTAGAAGAATGAGCCCTGACCTGGGAGTCAGGTGCCTTACATTCTGATTCTGGCTTTGCTACTAGAAGACCGTTGGGCATATTCCTCTCCATTTTTGCGCCCCAGTTTCTTTAACCATAACACTATTCCACTATAAAATAGGGGAAATAGACCAGATTATATTTGAATTAGATTATTATTCTTATTACATTAGATTATATGTAAAGTTCATGATTTCTGAAAATCTGTGTTAAGGAATACTTCAAAACATCTGTTATATAATCAGTATGGGCACCGATTTCAATCCCCTAGCAGAAGGCCTCGTGAGTTGCTGAAATCAACAAAATTCATTACCTCGTGGTCATTTGGGGATGAGCTTCTGCCACCAGAGTTAGCCTGGTTCTTGGAGGAGAGATCGACAGTCTTTCACCAGTCCTATACTCAAAGCCTTTTCAACTCGGAAGGGCCTGCCAGCCCTTACACTTAATTTGCACAGGGCCACCTCCATCTCACCATCTCTTCCTTCTGAGGAAGACTTTTAATACAGGTGTCAATAAATAGATACACGCCTATTCCTTAAATATCTTTCTTTAAACTTTTCATGATTTTCATAGTTTCTGCAGTTGAACTGTTAGATGTCTTTGGGTTGGATTCTGCTTTTTATTTGAGTTGCTCAAAGCCTGATGTCTCAAGCTAGGCAGGCTGCCTAAATTCTGCTTTAAGCCATAGTGTCCTTTCAAGGTCACTGTGAGAAAAGAGCTTTATAAACCTCAAAATGTTTTACAAAAGTGAGTTTTATCACCAGTAATAATGGTCACTTAATTTTGTATGCTGCTTTAGAATGTGCAGGGTTTTCCCATCCATTATCTCATTCCGCATTCAAAAGCCTTGTAAGATAGTGCAAGTGTTATTATCCCAGTTTTACAGATAGAGAAACTGAGTCTCAGAGGTTGAAGCTTGCCCAAGGTCACATGGTAAATGGCAAGGCAAGGACATAAAAGTCCAAAGCTCTTGACTTCTACCAAAATGATCAGCCTGTCTACTCTATCACGCTGCTTCCCAAATGATGGAAGCTTTCAAGTAGAGATTGGAAGACCACTCATCAGGGATCTTGTAGAGGAAATTCCCATGGAGGTACTTTATACTAGGTAGTCTCTGAGGTCCTTCACAACTCTGAGATGAGATTCTGTGGTGCCTTACTGCAGCTCTTGATATTAGTGAGAGTCAAGCAGGGAACGTACGAGCCCAAATGACAAATGCCCTCTTCTCACTTTCTTGTTTCTCTTGGCAGGTGACAGTTCTGGTCCTGTTTGCCTTGGCATTCCTGACCTGTGTTGTTTTTCTGGTGGTCTACAAGGTTTACAAGTATGATCATACTTGTCCAGAAGGATTTGTTTTTAAGGTAAAGCAATATGTCACCCATGAGGAATTGGGGATTCATGATCATGCTGGTCTATACAGGCTGTACTTCTGTCTCCCCCAGATCTAGTGTGTATAAAACCCAAGTTCAGCCAATGATCAGTATTGTTTTTCAATTTAAGCATATATTTTTCCCTTTGAAGAAATATGATTGTGGGAATTGTTCCCCATTTGGGGATCAGTCCCTACTAATAAGCTGTTCCCTTTTTCTTATTTGTGTTTTGGGGAATCCCTTGTTACTTTGGCACAGTTATACTACCTTGATGTAACATTTCAGTTTGAAGGCAGGGACTATTTAATTTTGCCTTGGTATCACTAGAGGTTAGCACAAATAGCTGTTCAATAAATGTCTGTTAAATAAATTGAATGAATTTCTTACAAACTTAAATTTCTCAAACCATAGTGGAGAGGACATATAAATTGAATGTTGGGGCTAATCGAAATAAATCACGTAGATTTAGTACTTGGTTTGGAATATAGAAATGTGCATCAGACTAAGATATAGAAGACCTCAACTTCTAGTTCTGTCTTTGCCACTATGTGACCTTGGCCCAGTCACTTCCCTCTCTAGGCCTTAGATTCCTTATCTGGCAACTGAAGGGGTTAGATAAGAGCATACGATTTTGGAACTGGAAGGGGCCTTGGAGAAAATCTGGTCCAACTTCTCATTTATAAACAAGGAAACTGAGGCCCAGAGAAAGGAAGTGATTTTGGCCAGGATCACATGTGTAAGAAGTACTGGAGATGGGGTTTGAATCCAGGATTTTGGCCAGGATCACATGTGTAAGAAGTACTGGAGATGGGGTTTGAATCCAGTTTTCTAAGACTTCTCCTAGCTCTAACACTCTACGCCCTATATTCTAAGGATAATATATAGTTCTAATTTAATTCAACAAACAGTTATCAGGCGCCTATGTGCAGTGTTGGGGAAACAGCTATGAAGCAAATCCTTGCTTTCAAAGAGCTTACAATCTTGTAATAACTGTGAAAATAAGGATATCATAAATTTGTATGGTCCTTCACAATTCTCAAAGCATTTTCATATCCATTATTTCACTTGATCCTTGTAAGAGCTCTTGAGATAGGTGAAATATTCCCATTTTACAGATGAAGCACAAAGGCTTGGGGAAGTTGTTTAATAATAATAACTGACATTTACATGGCACTCGAAAGTTAGCGAAGTGATTTACATATATTATCTCATTTGAACCTCACAATAACCCTGGCAAGGTAGAAACTATAGAGACTATTATCACAATCTCTAGTTTATAGATGAGGAAGCTCAGACTCAGAGTGGTCGTTACATGGCCATAATGTAAGTGTTAGAAGTGGGATTGCAACCCAAGTCTTCCTGACTCCAATTATTCGGCCAAGGTCACAGGGTTAATGATTGACAGAGAAAAGACGAACCCAAATCTAACTGTGAATTGGAAGGGTATTAGATATCAATGGCCAGCAATGGTCACTATTAATTGTAAGTGAGGGTATGTGCAGGTTAGTATCTGTCTTTTTAAAATGTAAGTAGGTACACACACATCAAAGGAGTTTTCATACAGGTTTCTTTCATGTGTTCTTGAGCTGAGTAATACAGGTATGAGTTATAAATATATTTTAAGAAAAGAGTAAAAACCTGAAATATGAGCTAGGAAAGAAAAGCAGGTCTGAAGATTTTTTTTTTCAAATTGAAAATGTATGGCACAGAAGAGGGACAGATGGCCAGAACTGTAGGCATTCTCAGGATAAGTCAGAAAAGGTTTATTGAGTATTACTGTGTGCTAGGGGCGTAGGGGATGCAAAAATATAAGACATGGTTGTCTACCCATCGACAAATGCATTTGGCAGCAAAATAGCAGCGTGGATTCTGAGGTCCTTTCTGTGAACTGTAGCCATATAATTTGAATGTTGGAAGGGATCTCAGTGGCCATCTGGTCTAACTCACACCCAGAAGGATTCCCTACTATTCCATAAGTGACAAGTAGTTGTCCAGCCTCTATTTGAAGACCACTCCTCTCAAGGCTGCCCTTTCCACTTTTGGACAGCTTTAAGTGGGAGCAGCTGTGTCCTGACATCAAGCCTAAATTAGAGTCTTTGCAACTTTCACTCATTTTTCCTGCTGTTGCCTTCAGTTCCAAAGGAATAAATCCAGTCCCACCACCACATGACAGCCTTTCAGATACTTGAACACAGCCATCCTGCAGCTAATGAGTTATTTCTTCTCCAGGCTAAACATCCCAACCAAATTTCATGTGGCATGGACTTAAGGCCCTTTAATATGCTGGATGCCCTCCTATGGACATCCTTCAGCTTACCTTCTTCCACTCTGGTGCCAAGAACTGAACACAGGGTTCCAGATGAGGGCTGACAAGTGCAGAGTACAGTGGGACTCTTAACTTCTTCATTCCTGGAGGCTGTGTGCATCATACTAACTCACACTGAACTTGTAGTCCACTAAAACTCCTGAATCTTTTTTCAGAGCAATCATGTTCTAGTTATAGCTTTACCTTGTACTCACGGTGCTGATTTTTTGTACCCAAGGCTAATTTACATTTATCCCTATGGAACTGCATCTTGTTAGAGACAGCCCCATGCTCTAGCTTGTTAAGATCTTTGGGGATCCTGACTCTTTCATTTGGTGTGCTGGCTATCTCTCTCAGCTTTGTGTCTGTCATCTGCCCAGTGGATAAGCATCTCTCCAGTGTCTTTATCCAAATCATTAACAAAGATGGCCCAGATCCCTAGGATATGCCACTGGAGACATGCTGCTATGTGGCCATTGAACCATTAATGACTACTCATTGAGTCCAAGCCATCCAACCAGTTCTGAATACATCTAACCATATCTGTTGTTGTCTAGATTCCACATCTTTCCATCTTCTCTATAAGAACAGTATGAAATACTCTATTAAAACCTTTGCTAAAACTTAGGTAAACTTTGTCCACAACATTTCCACCATCTACTAGTTTAGTAATCTTGTCCCAAAGGAAAATCCAGTTAGTCTGGTATGACCTGTTCTTGATGACAGGCTATGTTAGCTAGCTCTTTCACTGATTCCCTTTCCATACCTGGCCTTGGAGAATCCAGAATTCCACAACCTCTTCTAGGCTGGCAAAGAATAAGCCACTTTCCCCCCTTATCCATCAAAAACAAGATAAGCTGAATGTGAAATGAAATAAAAAATGAATAGTTGTATTGGAAAGCAAGGGAAGAAATAACAAAACATTTAGTAAAACCTATTATTGCAGCATTAGAGATCTAGAGTTGAAGCAACATCTGTGATTTCAATTTCAACTTATTTCACAGACAAGAACACGATGTAGTGGATGGGGCGCTGGGATTTGGAATTAGGAAGACCTGGGTTCAAATCCTGCCCTTGAGTAAATAACAGTGTGATCCAGGGCAGGTCCCTTTACCTTTTTGACTCATTCTTTTCACCTAGGATTGGACTTACGACCTCCAGATTCTAAATCCGTGATTCTACAATCCTATGAGGTCCAGAAAGCTACAAAGACTGACTCTATATTACAGATGCAGTGAATGGTAAAGCTTAGGTGAATAACTACAAAGACAATTGTTAATTCCAAAACCTATTCCAGACCTAATCCTAATTCCTTTCTCTCCCAGCTGAGTTCACATAACTTCTCCCAGCTTTTGGCTTCCCGTTAAGGGAAAACTATAATAACTCCATTGAGTCACATTAACAATAATAATAGCTAGCATTTATACAGCACCTACTGTGTGCCAGGCATTGTGCTAAGTGCTTTACAATTATTATCTCATTTGATCCTCACAACAACCCTGGAAGGTAGGTGCCATTGTTATCCCCATTTTGCAGATGAGGAAACTAAGGCAAACAGAGGTTAATTAACTCACCCAGGGTTATACAGCTAGTAAGTATCTGAGGTTAGATTTGAACTCAGTTCTTCCTGATTCCAGGCCCACTGCACCTCCTAGCTGCCCCACCGCACACAATGAGTTGTTAAAAACTCAGAATGGAGACTAAACCTTCTTTCTCAGTGTCACTTCTGCTGTATTAGAAGACACAGCAATCCATATCACATACAGAAGGAACACAAACTAGTGAAGAACCATTTCTTCAAAAGGCCTCAGAACGTGTCCATGTTATGGATAAGATAGAGAGATGTGGGCTGAATGATACAGTACAGTTAGATAGAATCAGCACTTGTTGTATCTGACTGACCAAACCCAAAGAGTAATGATTAATTGATTGATTTCAACTTGGAGGATGGTATCTAGTGGAGTACCTCGGCCTTGTTCTATTCTTTTCTTTATGACTTTGATGAAAGCCTAACTGGGATACTTATCAAATTTACTGAAGGCAAAAAACTGAGAGAAGTTAGTCCATTGGACAGCAAAGCTGGTATCTAAAAAGATTTTTGGTAGTTTAGAAGGTTGGACTGAGCCCAAGAAAATGAAATTTAATAGGGATAATACTTTGCAACCAATGAAACTATCAAGTAATAATGATGATGATGATGATGACATTCCTACTATGATGCCTCATCATGGCATGGAGATGACACTGGGTTTGCGGAGAGTAGAAGCCCTAACAGGTTCTATTAAGCTGGAAATATTTTTGAGTACAGTCCTAGCATCAGATCAAATCTGCTTTATGAGGACCAGCCCAGTTAAATTACAGAGTGGCTCATCACCAATAGACTGGCCCCTTGATGATGATTCACGATGGGTCATGGCAACCCATGAGACACAGAAAAATCCAAAATAGCTCTAAGTCCCAAGTGACCCTTTCTGCTTCTGTAGTGACACTGGCAGAATGCTGGAAAAGGGGTCAAAGAGTGCAAAGAATCACATTTTTCATCACCTCTATAAACTTTCCCATGGCTGTTGGTATTCTAAACATGAAATTCTTGTCTTATGAGAAACAAGTAGACATTCAATTGCTACTAATAGTTGATATTTACACGGAGCTTTAAGGTTTGCAAAGAAATTTTATGTCTATACTA